GACTCTGGTCTTCAGGTAGTATACACATGTAGGGGAACCTGGAAAAAACAGCACAGGCTCAGTTGGGAGGCAAAACGGTAGTGAGTTGAGTTGTCTGTTTGAGACACAGCTGGGTAGTCGGCTAGATGGCCAGTTGACCAGTTGGCAGAGCCAAACAGAGGGACAGACGAACAGACAGACAGACAGACAGACAGACAAGCAGCCCGGCAGGCAGGCAAGCAGGCTGGCGGGCGGGCAGGAGGCAGGCAGGCAGGCAGGCAGGCAGGCAGGAAACAGAGAGAGAGAGAGAGAGAGAGCGAAAGATAGAGAGAGAGAGAGAAAAGCAATAGGGAGGAAGAAAGAATCAAAATCATAACAAGACATACAAAGAGACAAAATTGGGACACGTATGTTTGAGGGGGTCCCCTAAAAAACATACGCCCATGTGGGTATGAGCTTTAAGCAGGGAGACACCAAAATTTGGAGGGATTGCTGTCCGCCTCCCACCTGTGAGGGAGTCCGCTATTCCGCGATGTAAATCCATAGCTGGGTGATGAGCAAGAACCAATGAATAAAGCGACTATGCAAAGGATACCATACTGTGGATGGATGAAATCCTGGACCAGTTGATGGGTGGTTTGTCCCATCATTCAGAAGGTTTCATTCATCCCAGATGGTGATTGATGAAGAGGGGTGTCTTCTCTTGTCTTCTCTGATCCTCCCCTCTCCCCTTCTCTTATGTGTTTGCTATTCCTTCTTTGCCTTTCTGTACTTTTCTTTCTGCTCCTTCTTTGTACACCACCCAAAAAAGGACCAACCCCATGGACCTTCCAGAAAAGTGTCCGAGAAGGATTCCTCTTCATGACCAACTCCCCTGAATAGGAGGCTTGGAAAAAGAGCCACCCAAAAAAAACAGCCACCCAAAAGAGTTGAACCACTGGGGGGGGGACCGCGCCAAAACCCCAGAACCCCTGGCGACATGGGGGTCTCGAGAAACGCTCGCTCCTCGTTGAGCGCGTCCAGCGCCGCCCGGGCCATGGCTCGCGGCTTGCCCGTGAGCTTGGCGAGGCTGGCGGAGGCGGTCCTGCGGCTGGGCTTGCAAGTTGGTTGGTTGTTGCCTTCTTGGTTGGTTGGTTGGTTGGTTGGTTGGTTGGTTGGTTGGTTGGTTGGTTGGTTGGTTAGTTGGTTGGTTGGTTGGTTGGTTGGTTGGTTGCCTCCCTACCTGCCTGCCTGCCTGCCTGCCTGCCTGCCTGGTTGGTTGGTTGGTTGGCTGGCTGGCTGGCTGGCTGGCTGGCTGGCTGCGATGATCTGTGAAACTCCGCTTTCACGCAGGGTTTCGGGAATAAACCCAAACATGCCGGCCATGTCGCACCACTTGGGATCTTGGAACCAGCCACAGTGCTTCATCCATCCTACGAGGCTGTTGTTCATCCCTGAGCACCTGCTGCTCTGGGGGAGTCCACCTGCACCATAAGTCAAGTGGACCGCCCCGAAACCCTTTCGGCGCGGCTTCCCAAGTTGTCCAAGTTGGAAAAAAACCACAGGGGAGCCAAAGGCCCCCCGGTTTTTGACCCTCTTCAGTCGAGCTCCGGGGCTCCGGAGCTGAGCTCCGGAGCTCCGGACCTCCCCAAAGTCGTTCCGATCCATGGGTTGCATTTGCCTACGAAGGCCGCCTTTTCAAGGGTACCCTGCTCGGCTTGAAAGGTAAAAAGAAAAGGTAGAACCCAGACCCCATGGTTTGGGGGGGGATCCGAATTGATACCTCCTACTGCGGATGGACAAACCATGGCTGAAGCCATTGGTTGTTGGTATCTACGTTGGGGAATCGAATCCTAAACCAGGGCTTCTAAAAAAAACAAATCCCAAGAGGCTTGGGTCTCGCCAACCCGATTCCCCCAGCACACGTCGCCCGGGACCGAAAAACCCCCCGGGCCCCGGCCTCACGAGTTTCAGAGAGGGGTCGACCTCATTGGGCTGGAAGGTCTTCCGCTTGGCCTGCGATCTGATGATCGCGAAACCGCCATTTTGCTGTCTCGCCCAGCGAGAACGAGCCAAGGGTCTAGGCGAAGCTGTGCTCAGATATCTATGTATATATGTATATATAGCCATATCTATTCATATATATGTATATATATATACCAACAGCCCTCCTCCCTCCCCAAAAACATACCTTGAATTTGCTCTTTTGTATGTGTATAATAATATATATATATATACATGCACATGAGGGAAAGCAAAAGGAACACCCACCCACTTGTTGGGTCTCCCTATGCTCAGTCATATCTCCAACTTTCCCTCGGGCACGTTTTCTCTGAAGCGCAGCAGGCCGACCTGAAGTGCCGACCTGTTACGCATCCGTTTCGCAGGGGCAATCCGTGGCTGTTTCCTATTTCAGAGAGGATTCCATCCAATACTCATTCAGAGCCATCAGGGGAGCCAACAGTCCCTATCCCCTGCTAAAAAGTCTTTAACTTGGTTAAATGGAAACCCAACCACTAAAAAAAAAGAAAAAAACTCAAACCCTTGGACAAACCGAGTGGTTGATGGAGGGCTTCTCCAATGCTCGCTGGTTGCCCCAACGGTAGCTGAAAGTATCGAGCCACAGCCATGCACTAGAGACCCTCAAAACGGAACCCCGCAGTTGCGGTCTAGCTTTTTGATCAAGGACATCAAAATCGCGACAGGGGTCCAAACTGAAGCCTGCCGAAGCTACTGAATCTGAGCCTCAAAAGGCTCAAAAGGTATTAAAGAGCGCAAAACGGTGCTTCCTTTCTTGAACAACACCCATTTCGTCGGATTTTTTCGTAGATGGACCCTCACAAATAGCTTACGCACACCTTCATTTGTGCACTTCCCAACCCGCAAAACAAACAAGTTTAGCACCTCTGAGTTGCCAATCCAAGGAGCTTGCAGCTTGGTTCAGTCAAAGAAACGGTCAGCTGAGCCTCCTTCGACCAAACCTGACTGCAAAACCCGAACCCAAAAGCGTCAGCCTAGGAAAGCCAGCCGGGAGATGCTCAAAAGCCCGCCTCTTTCAGATGTTTCCTCCATTTGCTTAAGTCCCCAGCAAAAGAAAATGTCCAGTAGTGATAAGATTCCCTTTAAAACCAACCACCCCCCCAAAAAAGAAAAAGTGATAGATTCCCTGTAAAACCACCCCAAAAAAAAACACATATTCTGAGGCAAATGGAAGGTTTGTCAACACTTTTTCAAGCCCCCCTTGAGGCAACTCGTGCTTGGCAACTTCCTGCCGAGCCGCCTTTACCGAGCCCGCGCACATCGGAGTACCACTGGCCGGCCGCACCGGGGGCGCCGGCGGCTCGATCTTATGCCAGGACGTTGCGTCCCATCGGAGTTGACCGGCGAAAACGACCTTCACTTGTTTCGACCTGTTGGACGTTGACATCATTTGGGTGTGAGATGCTTGATTAGCTCACAAGTAAACAACATGTCTTGTTGTTTCCCACTAAAATGTTCCTAACATGGTTAAAGTCCAACTCAGGGAGTGAGTTAGGGATCCTGTGGTATCATTTACAGAGAATTGATGTCCACCAGCCATCTTTTGAGGGCTTCCCTGATAAAATTCACAGCTTAGCTGTCCGCCAGCCATTGAGTGTGTTCCAAGCATTGAAGTTCACCGCCACGCAAACAAACAAAAACACACGGCGCTTTCCTGACCTGAAGGGAGATCTTTGGAAAAGTCAGGCGCGGAACACCTCGCCTAAGGAGATGGAGGTATGACTTGATCTTGCCAAGTTCAGATGGTCGGCTTCAGTTTGGCTTCCCTTTGATTCCACCAGAATCAAAGAGGTCCCAAAAAACACACCCTTAAGAGAGGGACTATGCTGTCACCACGACTAAAAGCTTAAGTTCTAAGAAGACAAGTCGCCGTAACATGTTCGGTGTCAGTGTCCAACATCGCTAGTCGCGGTACGGCCACGTGCTCCTTAAGAGTGCGGGAGGCCCCTGATGCGCAAGATATCTGGGCAAAGCAACGGCCCAGGTGTATCAACTGAGAGGTTCAAGCTCGAGATGGCTGGCATCTGTCTCATAGTGCGGGCCCATATTCTTGAGCAGCTGAGGCCATGGTCGATTCGGCATGGCGTTTTTGTTTGGTCTGTTTGATCCGGAAGGGGGTGCGGTCTTGTCCGAGACCTGCTCCTTCAGGTTTGGGGGAACCCCCTGCCCCAAAGCTAGGCATATCCTGTGGGATGTGTTCCTCCAGGGTCAACAGTACGAATCTCCGCTCCGGCACCTCACCGGTTCCTACGGGGATGTATATAACTCCTATCGTAAAAAAAAAGCCATCCAAAAGGGGACATGTAGGAGCATCGCTGATCCAGCTATCTATGCATGTGCCGCGGTATATACTCCAAAGATCCAAAGATCGTTCCCTTGCGTGGAGAGTGGACAACGGCGGTGCCTTCCCTTTTTGTTTTTTGTTGCTGCAGGGCGCCGTCTCGTGGCAATATGCGAGCAGCCAACATACACCCCGCAGAACAAAACTGATGACTTGCGTTTGCACACTAAAGACCAAAGCAAAATGGGCGTTTTGCTGGCGGCCGACTGTTCTGACACTGGGAATGAGGAGTGAATCAAATGGGGGGGTGTCGCGAACTAGGCGCGCCCCTCCCGCAAAATAAGGTGGCCCTTAAGCCGAAAAGGGATCCCCACGGCCATATCTTCACCCCTTGTCTGAGAGCCAACTGCTTTCTCGCTGGAGGCTTGAGGGTGATGCCCTTTTGCAAAGTTGACTAGAACCCTTTCTTTTCGAGCAACTCCAAAACTTAGCCACCCCCACCCAAAAGAAAATAATACAAACAATAATGACAAATAATATCTGAAAAGCAAAAACATAGAAATAAAAACAAATAAACGACTACTTTTGTTGGAGAAAGAAAAAGGAAGAAACAACACCACAAGGGCAGCAAAATTTTACCCTTCGACCCGGTGCTTTTGCGCGAGCCGAGGTCTCCGCCCTCTCGGAGCCGCTTCGCTCCGCCTCCGTCGCTCCGTCGGTCCTCCAGCTTCTGATCCACCAGGTTGCGGCCCTTGAGGCGAGCGCAGGCCTGGCCAGCCCGAAGCGCCGTCCAAAGCGGCGGGGGCGGGGTCAGCTCGCTTGGAGCAGCCGGGACGTTTCATTTTTTGGAGACATGTAGATATAAGTTGGAAAGGAAGGCCAAAACGGCTTTCTGCTTATTTAAGAAAATGAGACAAAGCACGACGGACTGAGGGCAAGAAGCAAGAAGGGAACGGAAAGTGCCCAAACAAGTGAGAACCAACCACAACAACAGAGGAGAAGCTCCCGGGTTCCGCTCCAAGCCGACCAAATCCTCCCCCCGGAAGCGAGGAAGAAAAAAACCGGCAATCGGTGTCCTGGTCGAGGAAGGGCCCGAAGATCGCCGCGAGCTGCTCGGGCTCCTGGACAAAACCAAAGGACCCGAGGAAACTCGAGATCATGGTTGTGGGAAATGACCTCTTCTGTGATACAGCAAAAAGGGCTTCCCAAAGACTAGCACCCCATATCAAGCGGAAGATTTTCTTGTATCACAGAAGTGGGAATAAACCCCTTGATTCCACAACCCGGCTCGAGATGGGGTGGTGCCGTTTGGAGCTTGGTTTAGACGTCAGGTCATACCCAATATACCCACATAATCAAAACCCGGTACCCAAATGGTCCACGGGGACCCAGAATGCTTCAAGAATTCAAGAGGCGAAAGCACCCATTTATGGCAAGGGGATTCTCCCTTACCCTCCCAATTCCCCGGGTTTTGTGTGTGTGACTCACATGGGTCTGTGGTACCCGCGAGGTCGCTGTGCAGTTGGGTGAAAGATGCCACGCTTTCCCCATGGTTTCATCCTCTTTCACTGGCGGCGGCGGCATCCACTTCATTGGGAAGGGAAACCATGTTAAGGGTTCGTTTTGCACAAATATATAAGTCAGCCCGTCCTTTTCGCGGTTGCTCACGTTGATCAAATCACCCCTCACCCTAGCTCCTTCGAAGGTTTGCATTTGAGCAGTTGGTCTTTGCCAGAAAGTCGAATTCATTCTTCTTTGCGGGAAACGTGCGCTCCCCAAAGCAACAGAAGACTGCCAAGGATATGATCAACTTACACCTGGTCCAACAAATGTCGCAGCTCTACCTTCAGCGCGTCCCCGATCATTTTCCAGGATTTCGTCCAGAAAGCTTCCATTTGGTTTAGACCCCTGGAAAAAGATTTAAAAAAAATATAAAAATGTCCAGTAGCGATAAACTCCCTTTAAAACCAACCAGGGAAACTGAAAAAAGTATTCATTTCAGCAAATGGAAGTACTTGGGTGCTCCGGTTCAAGGTAGGTTGCCAACCAGGGCGCCAAGCACTTAGTGACGAGTGTGGCCAAACACCCTTGGGTAGCTTACCTCCATTTGCTTAAGTCCCCTGGAAAGAAATACATATATCTATATATAGTTCTTTAAAAAAAAAAAAAAAGATGAACTCATTTTAAAACCAACCAGGGAAAAAGAAAAACATGTTCATTTCAGCCAATGGACGCCAAAGGCCTGGGCTTCGTTTTCCCACGACCCCGCCTCCATGGCGGAGGCCATGGCATCCAGCAAGAAGATGGTCCTCGACCGCGGTCGGCGATCCGCGCCCCCCACTTGGCTGTGGTCCAAACCGGCCCTAAAAGCACCGAAATTCATAATGGGGTTACCCTCTTTCCAACAATCATGGAAGTGGACAAAGGGGTTGCCCAAAAGGAAAATAGTATTCCAAAACCCTCCTGTCAGCTTCCATGATTGTTGGAGGGAGGGTACCCTCCAAAAACGACACCCAGTGGAAGACACCCAGATGCCTGTGTCACAACCGTTCAACGGGAGCCCAGTTTGGTTGGGATTCGGTGAATTCGCCGCCCATTTTGGGCCTTATTTTTGAGGTGAATTCACCACCCTTTTTCGGCTTCCTGTTTTAGTGGTTGGAGTGGGTCCCGTTCACTGGGGGTACAATTTGGATTTTGACCCATGGCCACTTGGAGCCTGGTGGTTAAAAAGCGGCTCAGGGGGCTGGGAAACCCATGCTGAGCCACAGGAACCAGGGAGTCAAATCCAAATCCAAAGCGCCGAATCCAAACCGCCAACTTAGGGTTCCGGGTTACCTTGGTGGTGCCCGCGAAAGTGTGGTTGGTGATTGTCCATTTCGCCGGCTCCCAAGCACAAACACACCCAAACTCATGTGGACCAAAGCTGGAGGTCTGTTGGGGGGGGTGCACAGTTGGGTCCGCGTCCACCATCAAATAAAAACCTCTTTTGCGTAACCCACTACTTGGTGGTGACTGCCAAAAAAAACACGACGTGTTTGCTTTGACGACCTCCATTTGGCTTCCCTTGGACCAGGGCTGAGGGTTGTTTTTGGCCAAAAAAATCTGGCAGCCCAACCCATGGCGGCTCATCTCTTGGCCGGGATCCCCCGACAGCTCCCGGCGCTCGTGCATGGACTGCAGGCAGGCGCTCGCCTCTGGGCTCTGTGCCAACAGGCCATGGCTCAAAACCCAAATCGGTTCTCCCCCAGTGAACGGGACCCAATCCAATCACTAAAATAGGTTCCAAAATGGGTGGTGAATTCACCGAAAGCCAACCAAAATGCAGCCTGGACGGGCTAGAAGTTAAAGTCCAAACATCCAAGCAAAATGCACCAAAGAAAAGGTGGTTGGGGGGCTATTCCACACAGAAACCACCATTTGGAGTGAGGTCGTGTGAGGGCGTTGTAATTCAATCAGATGTGGGACAGGCACCAATGTCCTCCCCGAAAGTAGACAAAACAATTATATTGTTGATTTTGGTGAGAACCCCAAAAGCCATCATTTCTCTTTTCGGGGATCCCTTTGTGGGTGACATGCATGTTAAACTGCAGGGGAGTAAACGACCATAAACCCCTTCTTCCCATGGCAATTTGGGTTTCTCGCCTTTGTCGCTTCCTTAACAGTACACCGTGAACATTGACCGCTCACGTGAGAATCCTCACACTGCCTTAATCTGGGACCTTCGCTCCTGACACAATTTTCACACCACTCTCATCAACACCTCCAGCATCTTTGAAAGGTCCGATTTTTCTGGGCTGGCCTCAGATCCCCCAGGCGATTTTCTGGGCTGCTGTTGACCCCCCTTGCAAAAAGTTCTCAACTTTTTGGGGGGTTAGTGGAAAACACCGAAATATTTCAACCAAAAAGCTAAAGTCTAAAGATCCGTTGCCCAGTAGCAGTCAAGTTTTAGCTTTTGACTCTTCGGTTAAATGGACACCCAAGCCTAATCTAAGGAACCGGAAGCCGCCCTTGGAGGCATTGCGTTTGGTATATACCCCGCCGTGGGCTTCGGGAGGACGGGAAGCTGCCCATAAGGAAGACGTCCATATCGCGCGTGGTCAAAACTCAAGGCATCTTCTGACCATATGGGCGGCGTGTCTTTCTGGGGGTGATCCATTTGTTTGGTTTTCGAATGGAGAACCCAAAGGAAAAACCATTGTTATTATTTTTTTGGGGGGGGTTCCCGAAAAAGCAGACAGACCATATCCCCATTCAGAAGACAAACCGCTGAGCGGTGCACGCGGTGTGTGCATGTAGAGGCGCGCCTGCTCCGGCGCCGGGGTGTCGTGACCAAAGAGCTCGGCACCTTGAGGTGCCGACGGAGGCAACAAGTCGCAGTCTCTTCTGTCATAGGTTTCCTTTAAGTAAAATCGATGGAACATAGGCTGTCCTGGTTGTCATAGGCTTCTTTTTTGTCATAGGTTGTCTTTTTGGTAACATAGATGGGTTGTCCTGGTTTTCTGGGGTATAAAAACCCATCTACCCATCTATTTCTAACACAATATCCTAAAAAGACACCTATGCCTGGGCATCTTAGTTTATCCTCGTGGGGCAGCTCGAAAGGAAAACCGAAATCCACTTTTGGGCGGTCCCTTACACCCACCTTTCTTGGGGTTGGAAAGGGAACCAGACAAAAACACCGCCATTTCGGGGCGGTGGTCTCTTTCTCTTTCCTCGGTGTTTTTGTTTCTTCCAAACGGCTCGTAACCCAACTACTCAAGGGCCTTCTCAGAGATTTCCGCAGTGCGCATCTTGCAAGATTTGTGATTTCCCCAAAAAAAGAAAAAGAAAAAAGGAGAACAAATGTAGTTGCCGTGCTGTCGGACCAGAGATCCATCTTGTTCGCCCGCACACCAAACTTGGCCAGCTTGTGAGAGGAGCTCGATGGCCAGTCCCGGACCGTGCCCTGCGCTTTTTTGAAATGCTGAGCAGCGCGCAGGTCATGCTCAAGGCACCGTAGTTTCCGATCATTTGATGCACCTGACGCTCTGAGCCCCTTGGAAAATGGGCAGTTTCCTTGTTTAAGCAACCTAAACATGAGGGAGCAACTCGGTCCAACACGAGCAAATGGCATCTGACCCTTGAAAGTGGCATCCCGTTAACGAAATTCAGGTACGAGTCTGCTCGTCGTTCTAAACAAATGTCTGCTTGCTGCTGCAACCATAACCAGCCCAAGTGCTCATCGCGGGGTCAATTTGGGAAACGCCCAAACCAACCTTTGGTTTTACCTTTGGTTTTACCGAGACGGTGTAATCTCTGGTAAAGGGTGTGTGGTGTGAGTGTGTGTGTGTGTACGTTCCAAGTTTGTGATGCAACTTGTGGACAATCGATGAGTATGTCCGCCAACCACTTTTGAGAACATTCCTTCTTAGAGTTTTAGAGAGCCATTTTTGCCAATAGGGCTTGCACAATGCTCATTTAAGCATGCTTCTTAGAACACTTGCTGGCCAAACCCGTGTATCTGTTGAGCGCGAGGAAAAGCATCCTCTGGCCCACCCAAGCGTGATGGTCTTCTACTGATCTGAAAGTCCGCTAAAGCAACTCCAAAATTTGGTACTCGTCGACTCTAAGAGAGACCTTCAAATCATGCTGCAAACTTGGAAATCGAGAAACAGCAGCGCCTTTCTACTGTGCTGTGCTTGACTCAAATGTGGGCATGCTCCATAAGCCCCAAAAGGGGATCGCGGGAAGTGCGTCAGGCTTGGGCCGAAGCCCATACACCCCTCAGCCAAGCGACCTCAGTTTGGTTCTCCTCTGACACCAATCTCGACCAGAAATCCACAGCGGACTCGGTTTTGGGAGCCGGGGAGCATGGCTTCCCTTCAACACAATGCCAGGTAGATTATCAACGCCCAGCCATGAACTTTCATGAACACCCTCAAAAACGCCTGGACAAAGATGCCGGGACATACATCCCCGTGTTTTCTTTTGATGTCCACCAAAGGGTCCAACCGAATAGACTTCATACCCATGGGCCACGGTCAAAAACTAGGTACAAAGGCCGCGGGAAATAGTTTAAGTTTCTCTAATTGGGTTTTATGTGGGGCCCGCCTTTCTCTTTAAAAAAAGGGGAGGTGGTCAAAAATGAGTACCTTTTTGATGCGGAACCCCACCTCAAAAACGGGGTCCATTGTGTTTGACCACCCTGTGGGAGATCAGTGCTCAAAAGTAAAGAGCTGAGACAAAGCGCTGGTGATATTTGATCCATTTTGGTCTCAGGTTCCAAAAACGCTTTGGTTGCCATTTGATAATTGATCCACTTTGGTTCCATTTTGCCTTTTGGGCGCCATTTTGGTCTCCATGTTCCTTCTGTTCCTTCCACCCCACTCTGACAGCCCCAAAGGTCGATCTCGCCTTGGGCAGCTGCTGCATCACGGGCTGAGGATATCTGGCATCACGCCGCACCTGGACCAGGGGACCTCTCCCAGTTCCCCGAAACGGAAAGGGCCCAAGCCCAAAGACTAACCAGTCATTAAGGCAGTTGTGGTTCATTTGATGGTCACTGCTACATGGATAATTGTGGTAATTCTAGAGTCAATACATGCGCAAAACCCCGACTTCCCCCCTTCCCCCATGTAGAGGAGTAGATGTTTCTTGTATCACAGAAGTGGGGAGAGATCCCACAACCCTGCACCGGACAAAGACTAGGAAGGTTTCCCCAGGAAGGGGACAGTTGGGTGGGTTGACCCTTGAGTTTGGCACGGGAAAGCTGTGTCCCATTCAAACTGACTTCGACTTGTCTGATGTGAGTTGCTCACTTCGCATTTTTCGTGTTTCCAAAAATGGGACTGTTCAAAATGGCAGGCCCCAAGGACCCCTTTGGTCGAGAGACCCCAGAATGAGTTTTGGTCGGGGTCCAACCGATATTCACGAAAAACACACGGTGGTTTGAGGCCAGATTCATTTGTAGAGCCTGGCGGATACAGTTTTGTTTCCCGCATCCTGGGCGAAAAAAGGCCGTTTTTCAACAGAGTCATGCGGAAGCTTTCGCAACGGGAGCTTCCGCAAAAGGCGATCCCTTTGCAAGAAAACAAGCATCTCTGGAGCAATCCAGGACCACTTCTAAGGGCTACATCCTCCCTTTTTCTGTCATTCCTAAGATGCTTTCAACATGTGCTGCAGCAAAAGTTTTCGCGTCCGGGAACTTCACGGACGCTTCTCGCGCTTGCCGGTTTAGCTTTTGAATGGCCAAAAAAGGCGCTCCAGATCCAATAAGATTGCTGTATGAAGGAGATGCTCCAAAAGAGCCTTGGAATTCAAGGGCTGCAGTGATGTGTTCGAACAAACTGCCGTTGCTTTTCAGTTTCTCTTCACCCGGAAGGTTTGTGGTTGCAAAAGAGCCGTCCCTAAATCACATGTACATATATGTGTATATATGCATATATGGGTGTGGCTCAAAACTAAACAGCTGGGGTTACGCAGGATTTGGTCTACTTTTTCATTTACCAGGCTTCCATTTTGGACCCGTTTTTTTGAGCCACACCCATATATCATGCGGCGAGAAAGTTCCGCTCGCCGCAGGGTCCCTGGCACAGAGACTTCTCTTGAAAAACAAAGGCGGTCCGGCGGCAAGAAAGTCCCCTTGCCGCGGGTTCGTCCCGATCATAGGTGTCCTTTTTGGCTGATTGAGCCGCCAGGTAAACCAGGAATCGCCCAACCTATTTTTCAACCAAATCAACCAAAAAGGACACCTATGGTCCCGATTCGTTTCCCCCGCCTCCTCGCATGTCCTCGAACACTCCCGGAGGTACTTGAGCTTCTCAGCCTGAGCCCGACTGAAGGACCGGCAGCCGGCGGGGCTTAAGCGCTGGGCACATGGGGTATGTGGAAGCACCATTTTTGAGGGGGGCGGTGCGGCTTTTTTTAAGGGTACCCCATGATTGGTTTAAAGGAAACTGAAAAAAAATAGGGGGTCGCCTAAAAATGACACCCCTACCTGGTTTGGTTTGAGCTGGCAATCCTCGCAAGTCTGAACCCTAGATTCAAGATTGATATGATGTGGAGAAGAATGTGATTTGGGATCCGCTGAAAAGGACCAAAGGCGAATTGCCCACAGAAGCCAGGGAAACAATGTGCCTCTAGGGTACACTCTTGGCAGGGTGACAACCAAGAAGCGGACCGCGCGTTTCAAATGCTGCGGTGGCTTTATAAAACCGAGCGTCGAAGCGCTCGCAGTCTGATGCCATGGAAAGCGGAGCGATCTGTGGCTTCTTTTAGCCACGGAACGCGCAACGGAGGTCCGCGATGTTTGAAGGAATCCTCAACAAAATCAGGGCAACTCCGGAAAAAGGAGCCACCCGGTATCAAAACTGGGCTTTGACGATTTCAGGCAAACGTGCAAGCCCAAAACGGAGGTAAAGAAACAAAATGGCGCTTTGCTGCGCCCACCTAAAGGTGGCATTCTCTCATGTACCCAATGAAATGGTTTGCCACAGAGAAGATTTGAGAACCCTAAAAGTGATGATCAACCAATATGTGGCCATCTTTTTTTTCCGATACCCATGTTGGCAGAAAATCGAAAGAATCTCAAGCCGGATTCAAAATGTTGAGACACCCCAAAAATACGTGGCCGACCCCACCCTGCCCGCAAGAGAAAAACAAGGAACCCGATTTCAGGATCCGGCCAGCGGCGCTCTCGCCGACAGCTTGGCCATGAGCACGCGCTGGCCGCTGGCCGGCCGAAGCGCTTCTCAGCGCTCGGAGCGTGCCGTGTGGTTCGGGCTGCGGGGAGGTTGGAGAGGTTGCTGGGCTTTTCGAGGGTACCGGGAAACCAAGCAAGGGGCAACCCACCCGTTGTCGTTGTTTGTTTTCTGTGTGTGTGTGTTGTTGTTTTTTTTGGGGGGAGAGGCTTTTCTTGTTGTGAGTTGGTTCCGGGACCCTGAACGTCAGGTTCCATGTCAATTGACGGAAGGGTCGGTGGGTTTCTTATGGCTCGCCGATGAAAAGCAGCGCTCACTTCCGAGGGCAAGACCTGCCTTGGGTTTGGAAGGGGCAGCAAAAGGAGCCACCCACCATGCCGCTGGGGCGTTTTTGTTTGCTTTTTCTTCGGGTTTGGGGAGGGCTATTTTGAGACACCCCGCCCTTGCGCTGCGTCCCAGCCTTCCTCTTGGCTGCCCCAAAAAAAAGCTCGGCACGGGAGGGCCCCGGCAGTTCGAGCGCGTGGGGAACTGGGGAAAAGGGGGGGGTCCACCTGCTCACCGAACCCCATGGCCGGGATAGTTAAAAGAATTGGTAGACTCAAACCCAAATGAAAAAAACCAAGACCCCAAATAAAGGCTGCAAACATGTTTGACCCTGAGTGTCCTCCATAGAAAGGGGACGGGGCGGGGGACGCTTCTTTCCGCCTCCACGTTCTCTACGTCGAGCAATCTCGGCTTGGACTCCGCATCCAGATCCTGAGCTCGCGTGCCCGAGATGGACAAATTGGCTTGGAGTGGACGTCAGAAGACATGGGGCTTATCTCAGAATAAGGGAACCTCCACAAAGTGTTGTGAAGTTGTTATTTCAAGATAAGGGAACCTCCAAAAATAGTTCTGGCTGGTTTTCTTCTGGTTTCCCTCAAGATACTCGAGACTACTTTTGAGAAGCTGAGACCATACTGGGCTCCCCCCAAACGATGGGGGGGGCCCTGGCAAGCGGGCCTTGGTGGGTTTTCGGTTTTCGTGGGGCTCACTGCTGAGGCTTAGCCTGCCGGTCGGAGCTTGGGGGTCCGATGCTCTGTTGTCTTTTTCCCTTGGAAAGTTCCAGGCAATCTCTCTTTCGCCATTCTGGCAGTGCCACCTTCCTGAACTTTCACAACTTTTCTCCAGGAATTCTGGAGTCTCCGAACTTGGAGCGGTGGAATGTCCGAGGTCAGCCTCCAAAAAAACCATCAGAGCTCTGGAGCGGTTGGCCCGCAGCCGGGTTCCCGGAAATGGTGTAATGGGACTGACCGCAGCGGCAGCCACACGTACCACTCAAAGGCAATCCAGTCCTGACCCGTTGAGAACCCCGTGTTTCATGGATTCCCAGCAAAAAACCACAGCATTGAAAAGGCTAGCTGCGGCTAGCTCCAAAAAAAACACGCACTTGTCTTCCACAAAAACCCACAGGCAAACCCCATGGCTAGCGAAGGGCTCGTGGAGGTCGGGGGTTGGTGTTGAGGATGCCATGTGGGCTTCAAAGTTTCAAAAAACAAAAGAAAACTCCCCAGCTGTGCCCCTATACTTGAAAGGGCCAGCTATTCTCTTGGGCCATACAACAAAAATGTATAGGAAAAGGCCCAACACGTCTCCAACCAGAAGAAAAAAAGGCGAACATGGCCACCATTAAAACCTGGGTAGATGAAGGCTAGCAAGGGAGAATTTCCTTGCCATAAATAGTGCTTACGATCATTTTAATGCCCGGTTTTGACTATGACTCACATGGCGATTTCGAACTTCGAACTTCGCGGTGGCCCCTCAACCTGTGGCACCCCACCGCCGCCAGCTCCGCGAGGTCGCCTGGGCCAAGCGGCTTTCGGATTCGCGCGCAAACGCTGCGGGACGCGGCGCTTTGGGGCGCGGCGCGGCCTAAGCCAAGCCCAAAAAAGGGGCGGCGGGCCTCAGTAAAAAGGAGGAGCCGCCCATTTGGGCATGGAGAAGCTTGGATGAACAAAGTCCAAGTGGGCCAAGCAGTCAAATCAGGAGTTTTACATCCCAATTGGTGCCAAGTGGGTTTTGTTCATCCACAGGCACTGTCCACCCAAGAACTTTGGAGGCGGTCCCCGGTTGAAAATCATCGCCAGGTTTGTGTTGGCTATTGCCCCCGACACAACCAACTTGTTGGGTGATTCTAAGAAGCCAAAGGGAGGCCCAGCGGTCGAAGAAACCCAGCGGTCCAAGAAAAACAAGGAGAAGACTGCCTATTTCAAAGGGGTCACCACCAGATTAACTAATATATTCCTATATATATATATATATGTGTATATATATATATATATCAATATATATATACTTATATATATATATAGATCAATATATATATATATATATTTATATAGATATATATGTATCTATGTATATATGTATATATATATATTATAAATATATTAATATGTATATTTACATATCAATTCACCAAATATCGGCCCATCCAAAAAATGCCCCCCCCCCCCCCCCTCACTTTTAACGTCGCAAACCAGCGGGTCCCGTGACGTCGCGTTCGGCGGTGAACTCATTTCGCCTACCAACCCATCTTTGGGCGTGCATTCGATTTCCGGGCCATGTGAGCCACGTTTTGTGTGTGTGTGTGTCATGGGTCATGGTTCCCTAACCCAGAATGCTTAGAATGACTATCAAACATCTCTAGACTGACTATCAGCTTCTCTTAGAACGTCTATTCAGGAACCTAAGGCGTCCATCTTCACATCCCTACAAAGAAGTATCTGAAAGGGATTTGGAGCGTGGCTTTCCTTTTGGTTTCCCAAACCAATCCCCAAAAACCAGCTTCCACTGATTGTTTGGCTTGGATTGGAGGTTGACGGGCTACCCACAAGATCCAGAAAACCCCTTCAAATCCAATCCACCAATCCAAACAGCCAAAGGAAACTTGAATTCAAGGGTACCCTGCTGTCTACTGACAAGGAACGGAGCTGTCCAAAATCGTCCTCCCCGAAACCTCAGATTCCATGTTGGCGGGCTCCACTCAGATCCCCTGCGAAAAGTTTTTTATTTATTTTCAGAGCGCATGACGATGGATCGAGAGACGTGGTCGGTGGTCACGAGCCAACCCCCCAAAAATACAAGAAGCAAGGAAAAGCCTCTTCGGTCTCCGCCGAACAACCGCAAGCAAGCCGGCGAAGATTCCAAGCGCCGTCGCCCGCGCTTGCAAACAACGATGCGCCAAGCAGCAAGCTCGCGCATTCTTCGTCCAATAGCAGACGGTGGCTCAAGCGCTAATTTCTTGTAAACAAAAAAAAATGCAACTCCTTCGTGCCATACAAGCTGATTTTCGACACGAGCTTTTCAATCCTTCGTCCCTTCAAGGAACCAATCGGACTGGGCACCGCCCAGCCTTGGTGGACATATTTTTCCCGCGCCTCCAACACGAACACCGCGAACCCCGCGAACCCCGCGACCCGCGACCGGCGCAACGAACGAATCCTCTGGGAATCCCCGCTGGCGCTAAGGTCTGCTGACAGGACGCGGCAAAGCATCGCGCTTTCCTGGCCAGGAATTTTAAGAAGGAACCACCTCCAAAGTGGTTGGAGGACACGAAATCCCAACCTAAGCGTCCACCATAGGGTCCCTTCTTAAAATTCACACCCTCCTGAGGAAAAAGCAAAAAAGAAGCGACGGCGGGCGTGGGGAAGCTATCAGACGCTTTTTTCGATCGGAAAAACCCAACGGATGATCTTGGCTTTAGGCAAACCAAAAGGGAAACCAAAAGGGAAACCCGCCATTGTCCTTTAGAGTTGGTACCCGATTGAAACCTGCCCTGGACTCCCTTTTATGAGCCTTCTCACAAGTGTTTGGTCTCCGAAAATGATTGAACCACCAAAAAAGCAGGAGAATCCAACCTGCGACACCCCCCCGTTCGCGACACCTTGACGCCCAACGACCTCGTTGTCATGATACTTCGGGAAGCCGCCATGTGGGGGTCTCGCTTCAGTTTCCGGGTTAAAATCAACAAAGTCAAAGCAAGCACGGAAACAAGCGAAGCATGCGTGGGGTGTTACTCAAAATCGGGGTAACTTTTCCTCCGGGTAGCTGGGTTCCTATTGGCTTCCCTTGAGTCCATCCAACAAGGGCTCCGATTCCTGTGGATGGTTGTGAAATCCATTTCGCACTGCCTAGGATTCCTTGAAAGGATTCGATTCCCCAGTGATTCGACTGTAAATACCAACAAGCAACGGTTTCCCATGGTTTCCAAGTGGTGCAGGAGCTTGTTCATCCACAGTATTTTGAAGCACCCCCACATGCATCAACTCGGAGTTTGGACAATCTCTCTCACAAGGTGATCGCTTGCCTTGGCCGCATCGCGGGGTGCCGCGTAGCCGTCCATGCCCGCGCCCGAATTGGTCTGTCGATTCTTCGTTCTTTGGGGGGGAGGGGAGATGGGAGTCGCGTTGCTCGCGCTGGGGCAGTTCTTCCGGGGTCCTGGCCATCTGACCTTTGATCATTGCAGAAAGGCACGAGCCACACTCTCACGCACGGGCAGGTGGGATCGGAGCTATGCCTAAGCAAATGTTTACCATGTGCCGAGCAATGCCCAGCTGCCCAGAAGTGCGTTCAAATCCCCCCAAGGCTATGTATGGGTTCTACATGTTGCCCTTGCAGTACAAGTCTTAAGGGCTTATATAACTCTCGCCTGACGCACCGTGCCCTTCCCGGTCCCCCGCTTCTTTTTTTCTCCTCAGCACGCCGGTCACGGCAAGTACATTGGCTGATGCGTATCCATGACTCAGATTGATTCTTTGAAATTCAATGGGTCCAAACCTTCAGGAGACCTGGAGCGAATCACACCACTGGGCGATTCACTGCAAACTCACCAGTGTCTAAGGAAGGAGCCTTCATGGGATGTGCTTTTCTTTGTCCGCGCCAAAACCATGTTGACCCATCGGGTTTTCTTCTTGTGCCATCTGCCGATGGACCCATCAGAACACTCCAAGTCTTTCCTTTTCGTGCACGCCCAGCCACAAGGCCCGGGGCTTGAAATTCGTGACTGGAGTGCCGTGATCATCTGCTTTCCGGGCGCCAGATCTATGCCCTAAAGAAGGTGGTTGCAACATACACTATGCTTGTGTGAGTGTGCCTCTGTGTGTGTGTGTATGGCAGAATCCCGTAACCCTAGTGAACATCCCAATCCAACCACTAAAATAGACTAAAATGGGTGGTCACCTACCCCAAAATGGTACCATTGGCTTTGACCCACAATGTGTATGCGTCTCTGTGTGTGTGTTGGTGCGTGCGTCGCTGTGTGTTTGTCTTTTGGGAAGTACCCTTTTCTGGGTCCTTTCAACCCGCCACGGGCGGATATTTTTACTCAAGCCACACCTCGGACCTCGACGAACAGAAGTTCTCAGAAAGCTTTACGTGGGAGTTCCAACTCGCCACGAAGAGGACAACAACTCCGTACCAAACGCCGTTCAAACCGCAAATACTTGGTGTAGTACTCCGCACAGTCAGTTGCACGTCACCTTGGCTTCCTTCTTTACGTCAAGGCCTTGAGCCTGTGCAGTAGTACATCGCCTAGCTACAGGGAGACGCCGATACACTCGCAGGTACAGTCGTCTCAGGAAAACGGGTTACAAGTTTGTGTATGTCGCGTAGTGGGCATGGGAAGTTCGGGTACCCAACAAATGTTCCGGCAAATGTTTGGACATATTCGAAGAAAAACCTCAATGCCAGAATGGGAGCTTGCATGTACCGAAGTAGGCCAAGGCCAACACGTTGCAAGCGGCCCTGTTTGAGATAAACACATCCAAGGATTGGGGAAATTCACACCTGGCTGTGGCTCAAAAATAAACAAAGGGGTTACGCAGGTTTTTGGCCCATGTTTCCACTTACCAGGGCAAGCCATTTTGGGATTCCGGTTTTTTGAGCCACAGCCACCTGCATCTGAACCATTCCCTTTCTTCTCATGGCACATATGTCCCCTCATATTTTTCATTTGGCCAACGAGCGTAGCAGCTCGCTTGATGCGAAAAAAAGACCTACCAAGCCCCTACGGCACAGGTCCTGACTTCCGGGACATGTCACACGGACTCCCAGAGATCGGCCTTCTCGGCCCTTGGTCTGGTGGTTTCTTCTCTCTTTTTTCTCAGGCGGCCGGCGGGAAAATGGCGACGTGGCCCCAAAAAAAACACACGGAACAAAAAAAAAAAGGTGGCAAGGCTTCTTCGCATAATATGTGTTTTTTCTCGGTCTCTCACCCGGCGATCGCCTCCCGGCAAACCACGCACCCCGTGGGTCCATGGCATAAAGCGCTGGGATGTGAAAGCTACAGCTGATCGCTCCAGGCCAGCCGTTCGACTTCAATCCATGGAACCTAAAGTGGTGTGTCGGAAGCCCGTTTGGTACTTTTGGTAGGCTACAACTGCAGGAACTTTCAGTAACTCATGCGAAGTTGCATGACTTGAGTTGTTTTTCTTTTTTTTATTTTTTTTTCGGTTCACGGCGCTTTTTGCGGTTTTTGCCGCTAGCTTCCCGAGCCGCAGCTCCTGAGCCCAAGCAGTTCGGATCCGCCGTGCGGCGGAGGCGGCACTCGGCTGGGGGCCTCTCCGAGCTGCGTGTCGGAAGCTCGGCTCCGGGTCCCGGGCGCCCAACGGGGCAGGGGATGCGGTGAATGGATCGCAGGGATTTGTTCTTCAAGGCCGCAAGACCGCCCGGGCCCGAAAAATGACTGCGAGAAGCTTCCGAGAGACCAACTCCTCGTGGGCAAATTGGAGGCGAGCTTCGGCAAGAGCAGCAGGAAGCAGGTTGCTCACCAGGGCTGTGGGAAATGGAATCCACTTCTGCGATGCAACAAAAAGGGTTTCCCAAAGACTAACCACTAACCCCCCCTATCAAGAGGGGATTCCCTTGTGTCGCAGATTTGGGGATAAACCCCGAGAGATCCCACAGCCGCTGCTCGCAAATGGTAGATGGTGGACGCATCTTTTGTCGTGAAGGGCATCTTGGAAAGGGGAGCTCCCGCGATGGGTACGATGGGCGAGCCGGGG